AAGGATGAAAAGGAGGGAGAGAAACAAGAGCATCCTGGAGATGGAAGAGCCTGTGCCAGGGAGCTGGGGTTGGAGGGACCAGGTGTGAAAATGAACAGAGGAGGAACAGAGTGTGACAGGAGTGAGCCAGAGAGGATGCAGAGAGGTAGTAAGACTAGGATCAAGGTCTTACAGGTCATCTTCGATATTGGGGACTGAGTCCCAAGAAAATGGGATGCCTCTAGAGATTTTTAACGACAACAACATGGTTAGGCATTTATTTATTTATTTATTTTAACTGGAGGCTAATTGGTTAGTTTTTTTTTTATTGAGAAGCATCACTCAGCACTGTTGAGGATAACAAACTGAAGAAGCCAAAAGTGGAAGCAGGGAGACCAGTTCACAGCTATTTGGTAGATGGGGCAAGGAATGGTAACAGTGGGGTTAGGATGACTCATTGGAGATGGAAACAGTTTTTAGAAATGAAGACCTACCTAGGAGGTAGAACGTGCAGCACATACAGGTAGACTTCGAGAGAGGAAAGTACAAAGGACAACTTGAGGGGCTTGGCCACGAGTGAGAAGCAAGATGACGGCGGCTTCTGCAGAAGTAGAGAATGCTGGAGGGAGAGGAGCTAGCTGGAATTATTGGGGAACGGGTGGTTCACCAAGTCAGCACTACACATGCTAAGTCTGAGATACCTGTGAGATGTTCAAGGGGAGAGAGGTTCAGTAGCCAGCTGGATACATGAGGCATCCCATCAGCAATAAAACCTTCCTAAATTGCAGCAGAGTCAAACACTATAATCTTCTTTTTTTTCCTAGAAAAGGGATACATTCTAGAACTATACCTCCCCAAATGGAAACCACTAGCCATGTGGGGGCTACTTAGATTCAAATTAATTAAATAAATTTAAAAATTAGTTTCTCAGTGATGATAGCCACACTTCAAGTACTCAATGTGGCTCATGACTACTCAGATCTGACAACACAATGGACATTTCCATTCCTGCATAAAGTTCAAGTGGCGGGGCGGGGGGCATCCTGCCTGGAACGTCAAAGGGCTTCTGATTTTCAACACTCAGCTCTGACTCAGTGTTCAACTGTCACCAAGAAATAAAATCCCACTCCAGGGAATTCCCTGGTGGTCCAGTAGTAGGACACTCTGCTCTCACTGCCAAGGGCCTGTTGGGGCCCTGGTTGGGAATTAAGATCCCACAAGCCGATCAGCATGGCAAAAAAAAAAAAATATATATATATATATATATATATATGTCTTACTATCTCTTGTGCCCCAGGCAAAGCTTTGAGGTTAAAGAAGAAGACACAAAAAAAGAAGGGATGATAATCCTTGTTATTCACATACTTTTCATTCCATCACTTAAAAAAAAAACAGATGAAGGATGAATGCCATGGGGAGAGTGTATAAGGGCCATGGGGAGTGAGCTCCCATTGCAAAAATACTGTCAGATCATCAGGAAGATTAAAATCAGATGAAATTAAGTGCCAAGGAGGCATTAAGTCTTTATTTGGACTGTGGTCCCCCAAATGGTAAATGTACAGCCACTATTTGATAACAACTGTTAAATGGAGAATAACCATTAAAAATTGTAAATCGCTGTGTTGTACTTAGAGTACCTGTAACTTATATAATGTTGTACAGAAATTAAATCTCAATAAAGAGAAGAAAGGGAAATGGATTCATGAAAAGAGCGAGGAAGAGGCAACCCAAGTAGGGAAACAGTTTATTCAGAAGGCTATGTACATCTGGAATGCCAGCCGTGTTTTTCGGGAGGAAAACAGCATCTGTACTCAACTGTCTAAGAAACAGAGCAATGGAGGAAAGTTCCTTGAGTGGACAGATGGAGAAAGAACTAAAGAACAACCCCGGTTTGGAAGCCTAAGTGTGCACTGACATACTGCAATGAACTCAGACACACAGCTAACCATACAGAATACAAATAATAACGGCGCCTTGACCTTGAACTTAAGGAACTCCTGAGTCTAATCAGCCGTAAGTAATCACCAGGCTGTCAAGAGGCAAGACAGGTGCTAAAAACAGGTTTTACAGAATGTGTCCTTTGCTCGATAAATATGTAAACTAAACACCACATCTGCAATATACAAGACATAATATCTCACCAAAAAAAATTGCATGTTCAAAAACTTCTATACACCTCGGTACTTGAACTGTGGGCAGAAGCTCAAATGAGGTAGACACGTGAAGGTCCTGGAAGGAGCTGTGATGTGGTACAGCAGACGTTCAAGTGCTTCACCCTGGGAGCAAGTCTCTTTACTGTCTTCCTCCATGTTTAGCCAAAACTAACACGCCGTAAGGCTTTCCCTGGTGGCTCAGATGGTAAAGAATCTGCCTGGGTTCGATCCCTGGGTCTGGAAGACCCCTGGAAAAGGGGATGGCTACCCACTCCAGTATTCTTGACTGGAGAATCCCATGGACAGTGAGAGGAGCCTGGCGGACTACAGCCCGTGGGGCCGCAGAGAGTTGGACACGACTGAGCAACTAACATTTTTTTTTCTAATAAGTCATAGGTTACATTGCATAGTTTGGGTTACTCTTTTAATTTTTAGATTCTTTAGATTAGTAATATAATCCATGGCTCAAAGTCCACAGAACTGTTAAGTTCAAGGTTAATGTCAGATCCTTTATGAGGGTACATGGAAATGTGTTACAGGGCTTCAATCTGGGCTGGAAAGAATTTTCTGGTCTTCATGGCTGATGCGGTTCCCGCTTTGGGGAAGACTACTAAGATTTGAAGGGTGAAGTGTCTAACCTTTATTATACCACTTTTTATGGTTTTTCTTTGTGTTACAAAGCCATGACTCTCATTGAAATTCCACTTTCTATTGGAATTCACTGACATTTCTTTCCCGCTGGGTGCTGGGTACTAGAACTGAATAAAATATTTATCTTTAAACATGTATGAACATACTTAAATTCCTTTAGAATAAGTGATATTTTTGCTATGTGCTTTGATTCAGTTTTTATTGAAATCTAAATCCCTTGGACAGAGGAGCCTGGTTGGCTACAATCCATGGGGTCGCAGAGTCAGACATGAGTGAGCATGCACATACACACACACAAAGCTATCTTTATAGAAAAACACTCAAATGTATTCTATTTTGGTGATGTTGACTTTTTGAAATATATTTGCCTTAGCTGCAAATACTGGGGTAGTTTACTTACATTAATCATTTCCGAGTAAATTTTTTGTGTTTTACTGCCTGCCATCAACACTGATAATAGCATATTTCTTTTTAGCTACTTTTTTCAGACTTATCGGAATATAACTGCATATTCAGAATTGATGATTCCTGTAAGATTCTAATACATCCTTTGCCACATTTACATGGCAAAACATTTGCTCATACTTTTAAATCACCTAAATATGTGTGTAAAGAAAAATGCTTAATTTCCCAAGTTATTTTCCTAAAGGGTGTGAATGTGTCTTAAATCCTTAGCTGCTTTTTATGCTGCTAAAACCTATCAAAACAGCACAGATTAAAAATACCAGCACTACTCAGGATTGGCGAGGGCATTCTCAGGCACTGTTGGTAGGAATGCACATGGGCAAACTTTGTCTACTGGGCAGTTAACAAACAGGTAAGCAGTAGGCATGCAAACTTCAAAAGTTAAGAAAAATCTTTAACTTAGAAATGTTAAACATTCAAGAATTCACCCTTGTTATGATAGTCATCTCAATGCAACTGCTAACTGCAAAAAAAAAAAAAATGGAATAATATGTTAATAATAGACTGATTAAAAGAATTATGGTATGTCCACATAATGGAATTCTGTAATGCCATTAAAAAGGGTTGTTAGAAATGTATTTGATGACATAGAAAGGGGTCCTGATACAATTATATCTCTAGCATAATGATATGTTTCAAATGTTATATATGTATGTGTGTGTGATGTACGTGTGTGCGAGAGATGAGAGAAAAAATTTAGAAGACGGGGGACTTCCCTGGTGGTCCGGAATCCACCTTGCTACTGATGAGCCTATTTGCAGGGCAGGAATGGAGATGCAGCACAGAGAACAGACTTACGGACATGGTGGGGGAGGGGGTAGGAAGGAGAGGATGGGACAGATGGAGATGGAATAGCATGGAAACATACACTAACATCTGTAAGATGGACAGCCAGCACAGATTTGCTGGATGACTCAGGGAGCTCAAACCGGGGCTCTGGGACAATCTAGAGGGGTGGGATGGGGTGGGAGGTGGGAGGGAGGCTCAACAGGGAAGGGACATACGTACACCTATGGCTGATCTGTGTTGATGTGTGGCAGAAACCAGCACAATATCGTAATTACCCTTCAATGAAAAATGAAAGAAAGAAAGAAAGAATCCACTTTGCAATGCAGGGGACATGGGTTTGATCCCTGATCCAGGAATTAAGATCCCTCATGTGTCGGGCAACTAAGCCTGTGCCCAAGAGAGCAGCCCTCCACTTGCCACAACCAGAGAAAGTCCACACACAGCAAAGACACACAGCAATCAAAAACACATTAACTCAAAAGTTTTGTTCAAAAAAATAATTTAGAAGGGACTTAACAGTGGTTTCTCTTGAGGAGACATCTTCCTTATACTCACTTGAATTTTCTAATTCTCATATAATAAATATGTATTATTTTATAGTTACAGCCAGTGAACCAGTGAGGTTGCTCAGTCGTGTCCGACTCCTTGCAATCCATGGACTGTAGCCCACCAGGCTCCTCTCCATCCATGGAATTCTCCAGGCAAGAATACTGGAGTGGGCTGTCATTTCCTCCTCCAGGGGATCTTCCCGACCCAGGGATCGAACCCAGGTCTCCCGCATTGCAGGCAGACACTTTATCATCTGAGCCACCACCTCTTGCTCAGCTGTCCTACCTCCGGGAACACACTGGATGTTGAGCCAATCCGGCAGAAATGGCCCAGGATAAATGTGGTGACCGCCCCCGCTCCCAAACCCAGTCCGCCCAGCTTGGTTCCCTGCCGCACAAGCCGGGACCCGCTCACCAAGCTGTGCTGGACGTGTGGCCTCTGCACCAGCTTCCGGACGCCGTTCTCCACGGTGACCCCCAGCCAGTTGAGGGTGGCCCAGCACCACAGGTAGTCGTTGCCGCCGTGCCAGAAGCTCACAAACGCGAACGTCATCGCGGTGGAGAAGAGGGCCCCCAGCAGGCCATGCTGGGACCCGCCCGCGGGGATGTACACGTACCTGTAGAAAGAGGAGGCTGTGAGGAGCGCTGCGGAGAGCCGGCTGCCACACCACCGGCTCCCGGGCCTCATTCTCCTGCCGCACGTCGCTATTCACCATCGGCAGACCCTTCCCCACGTCCAGGAGGCCACAGAGCACTCCCTGAATGCTCCGTCACACCAGGAGGTGGCGCCAGTGGTAAAGAACCCACCTGCCAACGCAGGGAGACGTAAGAGACGCAGGTTCGATTCCTGGGCCGGGAAGATCCCCTGGATGAGGGCATGGCAACCCACTCCAGCATTCTTCCCTGGAGAATCCCCATGGACAGAGGAGCCTGGGGGGCTACAGTCCATCGGACACCACTGGAGTGACTTAGCACACACTGACAGGTCTTAGGTTAAATGAACACACAGGCTAAAGAGCACTCATTACTAGAGCAAAATAGCACCTCGAGGAGGCAGGATGAGGAGCCCTGAATTTAATTTCTGAAAGGGACGCGCCTCACCCTAGAAGCCTAATCACAGAATGGCAATTAAGCTTCTGGTGACAATGGGAATAGGCTTCCCCGGTGGCTCAGGCAGTAAAGAATTCACCCTCAATGTGCGAGACCTGGGTTCGATCCCAGGGTCAGGAAGATCCCCCTGGAAAAGGGAAGGGCAACCCACTCCAGTATTCTTGCCTGGAGAATTCCATGGACAGAGGTGCCTGGCAGGCTACAGTCCATGGGGTCGCAGAGAGTCAGACACAACTGGGCAACTAATACGTCACTTACAGTGGGGATACCAACCTTCATGGTAGGTATGTATTTTACAGCTCAGACTATCAAATTTCATGTAAACCCAGTATTTAAGCACAATTGCTGAGTTCAGGCCCTTAAACGGCAGGATGGCTTCTGCAGAAGAGGGGTGCCAAGGCTGGATCCTCCAGCTTTCCAGGCAAGTTGCCCAGAAGTAGTGACAAATTCACAAGTGAGGAGAAGAGCTCTGTGCTCACAGGGCAGCCAAATTATCACCTGAGAGGCAGAGCCCCCCGTGGGTAAGTTCTCTACTGCTGAGACAGCTGTCTGACCACATACAAGCAGAACCGTGTTCTTCAATCAGTATTTTTCTGCTAGAGCTGGACAAAACTCACATTGTGTTGTCACGATCTGGAGAGCTAGAAAAACACCCTCCTTGTAGTGGTCTCTTTAAAAAGCCTATGGGTCTCTGTTTATTGCTGTCAGTGCTTCTTTGTCCAACCTTATTCCATAAAGGAAGAGGAAATGATCATTTCCTAAACACACTATGTGTCCCAAGTATGGCACTAGGCACTTACATGTATCACTTGACCTGATTCTTTGAAATACCACATGCTGTTCTAGCATGCCAACCCATTGAAAGGCTGTCCTATTTATTATTTTAATATTTTATTGGAAATGCTATTTTGGAAATAATTCTTAAATAGAACACTTTCATAGGCAAGCCAAAAGATACAATATAAAAAGCATTCCCCAGTCAATAAATACTTCTAAGGACTATGATGCCTTCGAACAGTGGTGCTGGAGAAGACTCTTGAGAGTCCCTTGGACTGCAAGGAGATCCAACCAATCCATCCTAAAGGAAATAAGTCCTGAACATTCATTGGAAGGACAGATGTTGAACGGGAAGCTCAAATCCTTTGACCACCTGATACAAAGACCCGACATTAGAAAAAACCCTGATGCTGGCAAAGAAAGAGGATGAGATGGTCGTATGGCATCACTGACTCAATGGACATGAGTTTGAGCAAGCTCCAGGAGATGGTGAAGGACAGAGAAGCCTGGCGTGCTGCAGCCCGTGGGGTCGCAAAGAATCGGACACATGACTGAGCAACTGAACAGCAAGGACTATGTGACTATCAGTATTTTTAAATGTCCTCCTTCACTCTCAAAGGTGTTCCAGGTTAGATGGTAAATTATCTGATCAGCTTAGACAGCCCCACTTTTTGGGTGAGAAAAACTGGGGCTGAAAGAATAGGAAGAACCTAGATGCAAACATGCATCTCTGGCACCAGCATTCATGTTTTCCTTTGCACCTCTGGGCTTATTTTGAAAGCCCTCCTATCTTGCTTCTCAGTCTGAAACAAACCAGAAAGCATGTGGGCATGCACCCATTTCAGAAACAAGTGAAGCAAAGAAAATACTTTCTCTTGTGCAGAAACAAGACCATCTTGACAATCAAGTCAGCAAATACCCATCAAGCACTCACTACAGACTAAGGAATAATCCATCTGTGGCCAAGGATTTATTCAGGCCTCCAGGGAAGTCTTGGTATTATGAGACACACACAGACATAACAGGTTGCTCCTGCCCAAAGGACAGGTATAGCTGGTTGTGAAAGGACAGCAAACAAATTCTATCATTAAGCTGACGTGGGACTTGTTTGCTGTATCATACTGTACAAAGTAGACCAAGGGAGCTTAAGAGTACGGAAGAGAACAGGGGGAGTGGAGGCGAGCAGGGTATGAGAGGCTTAATGGTAAAAATCCCCACCTTGGCAAGGTCTAGAGAGAGAGAGAGTTTGGCCAGGAGAAGCGGGAATGCTGCATCATGGACCAAGAAGGGCTGGACAATGAGTCAGAAAAGCCCGCCGACAGCCCCAGGCACAGGGGTTTTAACTGGCATTACGCTGCCCCCTAGAGGCTACTTGGTTATTGTTGCAGAATACGCAACAGGCAAAAAAAATGGACCACAAACCTCTGCAGCCTCCAACTTGCAAAAAGATAATCACCGCTCCATCATGGCGCTCCACGAGGCTGCCCTTCACTTCATACAATCAGTTGTGTGTGTAAGAAGGTTGCACGTTAAAAAAAAAAAAAATGGAGTGCTCAAACCAAGTTCAAAAGGATAAGGAGTAACTGCTATTTACAGAAACTCTGCAGATAATAGTTTTTATAAAACAAGTTTATTCCACTCCTAATACTCTTCTCACCCAACACTGGATTTATGTTGAGATTATTGTTGTATCTCGCTATATCAAAATGAGCTGCGCTGTGACAGTTGGACTGTAAAGAAAACTGAGCGCCAAAGAATTGATGCTTTTGAACTGTGGTGTTGGAGAAGACTCTTGAGAGTCCCTTGGACTGCAAGGAGAGCCAACCAGTCCATCCCAAAGGAGATCAGTCTGAATATTCATTGGAAAGACTGATGCTGAAGTTGAAACTCCAATACTTTGGCCACCTGATGTGAAGAACTGACTCCCTTGAAAAGACCCTGATGCTGGGAAAGATTGACGGCAGGAGGAGAAGAGGATGACAGAGGATAAGATGGTTGGATGGCATCACCGACTCAATGGACATGGGTTTGAGTAAACTCCGGGAGTTGGCGATGGACAGGGAGCCCTGGCGTGCTGCAGTCCATGGGGTCGCAAAGAGTCGGACACGACTGAGCGACTGAACTGAATATATATTAGAAAACTTCAGTATAGAAAAAAACCTCTCCTTGTCCATCTACATCAATGGTCCTTAATATTAGATTCAACTCCAAAAAGAACATAATTCCAAGCTTGTGACGAGGAAGCATCTAGTCCTATAATTACATGCACAGCTATTTTAGGCATCTCTTGGCATCGTGACTTTGCTACTTTCCTTCAAAAATGACAGCCGACAAAAATCTGAGAATTTCTTTTATTCCAGAAACTCACAAATGGCAGGTCTCCAACGACACGAGGTTGCTTGTTTTAAACCAGAAGAGGTTATGGTCTCCTGACTGGAAGACAAAAAAAACTCCCTTCCTCTCTCTTAATTTCTAGAAGGCAGTGGATACAGCAAGGAGGAGCATGAACCTGTTTCCTTTTACAAATCCTGCCAGGCTCATGTCAGTTCTATGATTAATAAAAACAGAAACGTGTCCCTCTTCTAGAAAAGCAGCAGTGTGACCCCACTTACTGAGATCCGCTGCATGCTGAAACTGATTTCCCAGTGGAAGAAAGCATTCAGCACCACCTTCTCAGCAAAGCAAAAATAAAAAGATTTTTTTTCCCCATCAGCAACTGTGGAAGCTTGAGTCTGCACAAGGCCTGGCCCCTGCCCCTGCCCGGCTGGCTTCGTGGGGTCACTGCTTGCAGAGAACATGGCCTGGGGTGGTTGTCATCCAACTGTACCACCTTCTTAATTTAAAACCATCTCACAGAGTCAACGCAACATAGCAAACCCCCGCTCGGGAAGAGGAACTGATATAAAATGTAGACGTTATTTACAGAGTCTACTCTCTACTGAATATCAGGTACTTTTATATATATTGCTTCTAACATTACAACAACTTCGTGAAGAACTAATGACCAAACCTATTTCATACAGAAGAGGTAAAATCGGAACCTAGAATGTTGTAGTTTTCAGAATCCCCCAGGTCTGTGTCCTATGAAGCTATTTACCACAGTGAGAGCATTTTTTAATCCTATGTTCCTCTTGTTCAACCACATCTGCAACATAGTCTCCACAGAAGCATCCACCGATATTTTATTAACTGAAGAAACATCCTCTGTACAAAAAGCAATCTTACTAGGAAGAAAGGTGCTCATGAATTACAAAGGCGTTTAGGCCAAGGAGGGTTTCTTCCCTGGAGGCTCTGATGGTAAAGAACCTGCCTGCAATGCAGGAGATCTGGGTTCGATCCCTGGGTCAGGAAGATCCCCTGGCGAAGGGAATTGGACAGAGGAACCTGGTGGGTTACAGTCCAAGGGGTCACAAAGAATTGGACACGACTAAGCGACTAACAGACCAAGGAGGTCTGGGCCAGAAAGCCACAGTTCAAGTTTTAACTAGACTAAATAGGAACTTCTCTGGTGGTGCAGCAGTTAGGAATCTGCCTGCCAGAGGAAGGAACAAGGGTTTGATCCCACATGCCGAGGAGCCACTGAGCTCGTGTACCACAACTATTGGGCCCATGCTCTAGAGCCTGCTCCACAAGAGAAACCACTGCAGTGAGAAGCCTGCACATCGCAGCTAGAGTGGCGCCGGCTCACCACAAGACCCGGGGCTGCCAAAATACAACTAAAATTTTAAAA